CCCCCCCCCCCACACACACACCCGTCTCGTTTTAATTATTAGCTACTTCGGCACACCGGCCATCCCCCTGTCAGTCTGTGTGTGCATGTGTGTGAGGTGTGTCCGTGATATGCCGGCCAGCCAGAACACACAGAGAGAGTGGGATCGGGGCGAGGCAGGCGTCACACGTACACCACCAGGCAGACGCGGATCTTGTCTACGGCCACCGGTGGGGAGAGAAGCCTGGCTCTGCGGCATGCGACCCCCACTTATCTCTCTCTCCCTCTCTGTGTCTCTCTCTCTCTCTCTCTCTGTGTGTGTGTGTGTGTGTGCATCCCTGCTGCTCTGTACAAGTGTGCGCCCTGTCGTCCAGAAAAGCAAAGGTGCCAAAAGTCGCACAGGTGAGAAGGAGACACAGAAACAGACGCTGTGTGCGTGTGTGTGCGCGTGGGTGTGGCGCAGATGGGAAAAGTAAGGCGAAAAACGATGACGTCATGGCTTAATCATCCGATCATCAATACAGCCCCCCCCCCCTCCCTCTCCCTTGTAAAGTCGGCTACATGATGGGCTGCGGTGTGTGTGTGTTGTGTGTATGCGTCAGACGCTCTGCTAGCAGCGCGAGTCTGCCCCCAGGTCGGGCACTGGGACTTTATACGCTGAGTAGGAATCGCGCCAGTAAAACTCCAGAGCAATGCCCTCGCACTTGTTCTGCCCCTCAGAGCGCTGCCCCCGCTTCACGTGGAAGAAATGGCCCCACTGGCCATCGTACTCGCGCAGGTTCTCCATGTTCAACCCGATGCTGTTGAGGGCGCAGAAGTCCAACCGGCTGCTGCTCTTGGAGCCGGGTTGGCACACCTTCTGCGCAGGCCCCGTGACCCCCGTCGTTAGACATTCGATCTTTTTCGGGGTCCCCGTGTGGATGCGCCCCAGCATGGGGTGGCCCCAGTCGATGCTGAAGTCCTTGTTTGGACACGTCAGGTAGCAAAGGGTGGGCCGGGAGCCTCTCTTCTCTGTCTCGCGGATGCAAACTCCGTTCGCCGGTGTGAGCGATGAGGGGAAGTGCTGCTCGAAAAACTCCACCATCTCCGAACCGCTAGGTCTCTTGTACCAATCCGGCTTCGGGCGCCGTGGCTGATTGAAGTGGTCGCCCGCCTGCAGGAAGCTGCCCGTCTGGCGCGACACCAGGGCGTCGATGAGGCCCGCGGTTCCGGTGACGCTGTCGTGTGCAGTGCTGCTGAGGGTGGCGGCCGACTGTGAGAGGTCGACGCCCGACTGGGTGAGTTGTTTCGCGAGTTGGATCTGCCGCTCAACGAGATGAAGACCCGCCATGTAGGTGGCATTCGACGCCGCAAACGCACCTGCACGACGGCAACACAGATGGATGGATGGATGGATGGATGGATGGATGGATGGATGAGATGGGCTGCGGTGTATGGAATGCAGCCAGCCGGAAGCCATTATCCAAGGGCCTTCATACCTTGTTCGATGAGGCCGCAAGATTTCTCCTCCGTCGCTATCTTGCCAGACGCCTCCACGCCATCTGCCAATACAACACACGCACAGAGAAACCGAACCGACAAGGCGTGTGCGGCGCGTCCGCATGTTGATGCCGTCCGTCCTCTCTCTCGCTGAAGATCTGATCTGGCCTTGTTTCGCATGGCCACTTACGCGTGATGGATACAGAGAGGGCGAGGAGGACCAGCAAGCCATACCGACACAGGCCATCGCGAAAACGACCGGCAGATGCTCTAGCGAGTAAACTTGAGTTTTCAGAGCGCGAGCTTCTTGGCCAGGAAGCCCCCACCTGCCCCCTTCCCGAGTTTCTCCTTGCGAACAAATCGTTTGATAAAGCAACGCAAGAAGCCTGCAGGGTTGACTCAACTAACTCGTGATAACGTCGACGGCCGCCAAAAAATTACCCAACGCACATGGCGGAGCACACCCACTACGCGCAAGCCGACGTGGATGTGGAGGCTGCACGAAGCCGTAAGCACACACGAGCACAGCAGGCCAGCGATGGTCAGGCAGGCATGGCCCGTCACAAAGCGGCAGGCCGTTTTGCAAAGGAGAGAGGGGGAGGGAAGCCGGCGCACCTGTGTGACGCGCTGCCGTCTTGTTTGTGCGTGCAGTCACGCAAACCGCCGAGATTGACGGCCACGGGGGTGCGGCAGCAGGGGCGGAAGCGGCACTGCTGCCCAAAACGGGAAATAACACCAACACCCTCAGGCGTACGTGACGTTGACTCGAGGGCGCCTTGCCCTGCCATTAATGCCTGTGTGTGCGGTGTGTGCGCCCCGCCCCTCTCTCAATTGCAGCGCTGTCCCAGTGGCGTGTGCCTGGACTGCCCAACCTGAACCTGTTTGGACGATCGAAGGGGGAGGGCGAAGAGCCGAAAGATCCTCAGCAGAAGAGCGCCCCGTCTCTGCCGACGTAAGGCAGGCCAAGTCACGTAGAGAGACACCCTTCTGCCTCACATCTCTGTGGGTGTCCTTGATCGACTGACTGTCCTGCAGGGTGGTGCGTCAGCCCCAGGGTCAGCCCCAGGTTGAGGCTCCGCGGCAGATGTCGATGGAGGGCATAATCGAGCCCTCGGCGGTGCAGCCTGTGGTCACGCGTCTGCCCCCGCACCCCAGGTCGCCCAAGGAGTTCCGATTCGCACCGCCTCGTGCCGGCGGAGACGGTGAGTGAGGAACAAGGGACAAGATAAAGTAAGGAAAGGCTGAGCATGCCTGTCTGGACAGAGGGGCTGTGCTCCCGTCGTGTGATGCTCGTCATGCTGGTGTACATCGTGGTGATGCTCAACTTCGACCACGGTCAGACAGCCAGCCAGCCATCCCGCGGACGCCGTGCCACACTTTTGTATGTATGTCTGTCTGTCTGTGTGTTTGTGCAGGTGCTATCCCTGCTTGTCTCCACTTCATCAACCTGGAGTTCCCTCTCGGCTACGTGCAGCAGTCGCTGCTCGGGTCGCTCGTGTACACCGGCCTGCTCATCGGCAGCCCACTCGCCGGTGTCATCTACGGCCGCTTCCCCGCCAAGTACATCCTCATTGCCGCCCTCGCCACCATGTCTCTCTCCGCTTTCTCTTTCGCGTGAGTGCAGTGCCCCAACCACCCACCCACCCCACAGACAGACACCATCAATGGAATGGGCCCCTCACTGTTTATTCGTCTCTTCAGTCACTTCACTGGAGACTTCAAATGGATGCTCGCGTCGCGCCTGGTTGCTGGGATCGGACAGGTGCGTGGGCGGGGTGGCAGGGGCACACAACCATATGGCAGGCGAGAGAGACGAACGACACGCACCTTCCTCTCTTGGTCGGTCGTCAGGCATTGCCTCTGGTGTACACCCCGGTGTGGGTCGATGAGTTCGCCCCCAAAGCATCTTCGTCATCGTAGGCAAACAAAGATCCACCCCACTGATGCAATGCACGGATTTCTCACCCACACCATGCATGTGTCTAGGTGGATGAGCTGGACCCAGGCGGCCTCCGTGCTTGGCTCCATCGTGGGCTACTCGATCGCTGGCTCCATCACGGAGCTGCAGCGCCTTCCCACCATCGGCCAGTACATCACCTGGCACACCGCTTTCTACTTCCAGGCCGTCATGATCGTCCCCGCCGTCATCGGCATTGCTCTCATGGACAACAACGTCATCGACTACACCCTCTACCACTCGGAGAGGCACAGGCGCATCCCGCAGAGGGCCCCGCGAGCAGACGAGTCGGACGACCATGAGGTCGACATCGAGATGGGGAATGTCGTCGACCTTGACGAGTGTGACGCCGGCAAGGACCGACTGCTCATTGAGGAGCCCACTCGACCCAAATTCTCGAGGTGGGTCGGTCGAGTGGGGAGGGTGGGGGAGGGAGAGGGAGAGACAAGGGTGTGTATGTGTGTGTGTGCCTGTTTGTGTGTGTAGGATTCGCCTTGACAGCATCACGGCTCAGGAGAGGGCTGAGGAGACGGAGACATTCTTCGGCTTCTGCGCGTAAGTGGACCGACAAATCTACACACAGCACGACTCTCTGCATGTCCCCACGGTTGATCTGATGTTTGTGGTGTTTGTGGTGTGTGCAGCAAGTTGGGCGAGTGGACACTCTCTCTGATCTCGAACCCACTCTACCTTTGCCTCTCACTCAGTAAACCAACCGACCGGAAGACCTACACAGGCATGACACAGGCACCAAATGGTGGATGTGTGTGTGTCAGGCATGGCGTCTTTGTACTTTGTGGTGACGGGCATTCAGTTTTGGACGACCGACTACCTCGTCAACGTGCTGCAGTGCGACAGAGCTCACGTCATCGCACTCTACACCTTCACCGCGGTCACCGCACCTCTCTGCGGGTACGTGTGACGACATCAGTCCCCCCCTCCCCACCGCCCTCCAAAGCATAGACACTTCTTCTCTGGTGATCAGCGTGCCTGCGGGTGGCTGGATAAGTGACAAGCTTGGAGGGTACAAGGGTGAGCAAGTCAACAACGCCTTCTACCTAGGCATAGTGTGGTCGGTGGTGGCCACTGGGTGTGGCGTCCTCGCCACCTTCGCTTGGAACCTCGGGGGATTCATCGCGTGCCTCTGGATCTGCCTTTTCTGCGGTAGGTACACAACACAAGGCGGAGACAGACACACACGAGGCAACCATCCGTCCGATGTGTGGGGGTGTGTGTGTCTGGGGGTGTTTAGGCGGTGCTTTGACGCCCATCACTTTCGGCATTCTCGTGTCATGTGTGCCAGGTGAGTGACACACGGGACACACACATAGACGAGACACACCGAGCACAGAAAGAGAGGGTCTTTGTCCCTCTGTGGTGTGCTGTGCTGTATTGCGTGTGTAGACTACATGCGCTCCTTCAGCAGTGCTTTGACTCAGATCATCTACAACACACTCGGATACTTCTGCGCACCCATCATACCTGGTGCGTTCATGAATAACGCAGACAATGGAGGCCGCTTGCCCATGTGTGTGTGTGCGGTTGCTCTCTCTCTCCCTTCAGGCTTTGTCATGGACTATGTCCGCCATCACTTCCCATTCGAGTCGCCACTCACGTAAGCACAACACGCGAGTCTCAGACCGAAGGACACGTGTGGCGCATGGCTGGCCCGCAGGTGGGGCTATCGCATTGTGCTTTGGTGGTCTGCCTTCGGCTGCATATTCTTCTCCCTCGCAGCCCTTGTGGTACGTGTGGCATTCACCCACCCATCCACACACCACACAGATCATCAGCCTGTGTGTGTGATCATATCGTGCAGTACCACGTGTACGGCAACAAGCTGCGCCCCGGCCAGACGACCACCGACGAATACGAAATCAAACGAATCAGGTGGGTCGGGTCCAGCTGCAATCATGCTCTGCGATCTCCCCGGCCGTCCATGGACACCAATGGTGTCGTTTCTCTCTGCAGAATGATGACGGCTTCCTTCTGAACCGACCATCCTTTGTCTGAGATCATACCCACTCATCTTTGTACCCACGTGTGCGTGTCTGCATGTCTGATGCATGTCTGATGGATGATATCGCCCTCGCCTTTTCGTTTTCCAGCTGCATGGTACCCTCACCCTCTATGGCATCCATGCATGCAATGACATCCTATCGCACCATCGCTCTGCAAATGACACCTTCATCGGTCTACCCTGATCAACATTGGTCAAATCTGCATGTGGCAGTCCCAAACGGATGGATTAAATCTCACCTTTTGTTTAGCTCGCATGAGGCGATCGCTCTTGGAGATCTGCGCGAGGCCAGGCGAAGAGAATGCTCCTTGTGGCCATCGGCCTGATCATCAGTGTAGCTGCAGGAGAGTGTCGGCCCTCTTTCATCCCATCTCTGCCGAGCAGCGTGCACCAGACTCGGCGCAACATGGAGGGTGTTGACTCAGTACCTGCTCCCACCACACCGCCTCCGTTCAAGCCACGGAAGAGCCGGAAGCTATTGTTTGTCGTCGGCTACCTCGGCACACCCTACTATGGCTGCCAACGGTGAGAAAGCTTGTGTGTCTGTGCATATATAGAGTGGGTGCCCTTCCGATGTCAGATCTGCCACGGCTGAACCAACCATCGAGAGATCCCTCATCGACGCCATGGCGTCAGAGAACGTCAGGCTGATTGTCGACCCCAAGAGGGCCGCCAGCGACTGGAAGGTAACTGAGTGACCAAAGCAGCAACGGGAATCCATTGTAGGCTTTCTTGCTGCCTGTCTGACATGCAGTTGGACCTATCAAGGAGTGCGCGGACTGACAAGGGCGTCCATGCTGCCCGCTGGGTGTTGGCTGCCCAGGTCCAGCCCGACAGGACATTGGGCTTCGAGGAGTACCGCAGTCTGCTCAACGAGGAGCTCAGGCGGCGCGGCGACGCTATCGAGGTCTTGGGCATCCAAAGGGTGGTGCCTTCGTTCAGCCCTCGCTTCCTCTGCAGCTCGCGGCAGTACGTGTACATGCTCCCCGCCTCTTGTCTGGCTCCCCTGGTGCCCATCCGGGATGACTTCGCACTGTCTGATGTGCAGCCACACCTGGCGGCCATCCAGGGCGAAAGAAAGAGCTTCTGGTGAGTGCTGACTGACTGGCGACAAACAAACTGACAAACAATAGGTGTTTTCTGTAGGGTCACCCGAGAGGACATTTCCTCCCTCAACGGTCTGCTCGCGAGGTTCATCGGCCGGCACGACTACAGCAATTTCGCCAAAGGTGTGGCTGCCGGCAGTCCGCAGGCCATGCGATCAATGGACCGCTGTGAGGCCTTGGACGAGCCCGTCACCATCGACGGCGAGCAGTTCCTCCGCATTGAGGCAAGATCGATCACACACCGCACGACATCACACCCATACAGGTGCTGTGCTGATTGAGTCTTGTTTGTTCGGTCAGGTGAAAGGGTCAGGCTTCCTGTACAACCAGATCCGTCGCATGGTCGGCTTCGCGTGTGAGGCATTCCTCCGCCGAAAAGCCGGAGACCGATGCCGACTGGTGCAGCTGGAGGACGGTCAGTGTGTGGATATCGATTCACTGCTGGAGCGGATGTTCGTGCCTGACGCGGCCGTGAGGGGCCACATACTCCTGGTGCCGGCGTGTGGACTCTTCCTTGACCGATGTCAATTCGGCTTCTATGACAGAAAGTGAGTTATCCAGCCGACAAACACATGAACGGACAGACGTGTTCACGGGGAATGTGTGTTGTTTCTGTTAGGCCGTCGGGTTTGCCGCTGCGTCTGGATGCCTATGACGACATGGCAGAAGCGTACGTGAGGCGGGCCATCTTGCCTGAGGTCGCTGCCTGCAGCAGCCGCGCTGCCGGCCGCCTGCAAGAAGACGTCTTCGACGAGTGGCTGCAGATGGTGAGCAGCCGCACAACGGACGAAAACGTCGATTCCTCCTCCTTTGTGTGCTGGTGTGGTGTGATGTGTGCAGCTGCACATGAAGATCCAGTGTGAGCGGGGCAGCTGGTGGGAGAAATGGAAGGAAGCGAGGGACACACCAAGTCTACCGGAGGAGGATCAGGGAGACGAGGGAGAGCTCGATGATGACAACTGACCGACAGCTACAGCTGCTGGGACACTGCTCTCAGACATTTGGTGTGTGTGTCACGTGTGGTTCACTTGGGCTGAACCGTGTGATGGATGTGCGAGTGCACGTTCTCACTGGTGGTGTTGAGTGTGGACGTGCATTGCAGCGGTTGGCTCCTGTGCTGCAGCACACACCTACGCTCGACCGACTCAGTGAGGCCGCACTCGTGTGGATACTGTGTCGAATGGAAAGCAAAGACGAGAAGCCAGACGTGGTTGACCAAACGGTGCGGTGCATTCATGTCATCCATGCATACTCGTCAGTCAGTCATTCACGTCTCACATCACATGCAGGGAATTAGGCAGCACACGTGCAGGGGACCTCTGCACACACCCGTCACATTATGCAATCAATGAGTCCTTCACTGAGAAAGACCATTCAACACGCTCCCCTCTCCCCTACCGGCCGCGCACAGAGAAGCCAACGGGCTACGCGCGCACGGTTTTGCAGCGCACGTGGTGTGTGTCTTTGCATGCCGACGGCAGACTGCCGATCAGCCAGTCCCTCAAAACATGCACAACACGCAGATGAGAGAGAGAGAGAGAGATTCAGGCAGGCAGAAGATCGAGGAAATTCCAATTCTTATTGACCCGCCCGATTATCCAATCCATCGACGTATCCATATGACCGCACAGGTGTAGTGATGCGGTGATGGCGAACTTGTGGGCTGCGCCCATCTCTTTCCGTGTGTGTGGCTGGCGTGTCTCACACAGCCCACCGGAACGCAGAAAGCGCCACCAGGGTCATGGTGACTCTTTAGACGTTCCAGACGGTCACCAAGACACGCCAGGTGCCCACCACGCGAAGAGACAACAAAACGGCCGCAGAAGAACAAGGCAGCAACGAACCCCGTCTGTCGTTCCTTTTGGTCGAGCTGCATCCGTCACAGTGGTAGGCCCAAGCAGTGGACGCAGCGCAGCGCAGCGATGGCTCGCAAGGCTTCGAAGCGTCAACTGACTCAAGACGACCACTAAGTGCCAGAATTAGCTCTCTGGTGCGCTCATCCATGCAGGTGTAGCCATAAAAGGCATAGGCAGATAGATGCCCACGTGTAGCGAAAAGAAAAACGCGTGTACACAGCCAAGCTTTCTTGTCAGGCAGGCAGGCAGGGAGGCAGACAGACACCCACCACACCGAGATACACCTGGGCTTGCCAGCCACATGGCTGCGCTCACGCTACAAATGCGGCGATGGATCCGCCACCCCACACCACGTCCGTCCATGCAATTCACTCAAAACACACCCAACCACACACCACACAGACACCGAACGAAAACAACCATACAGCCACTTACCCAGGCACAGCCACGAACACGGGTGTATCGACCGATGCTTCTACTCGTTCATTCCTGCGGCTGTCCCTTCTGTCCGCCCTTGCCCTTTTGGCCGCCGGCCCCGCCGCCCGACTTCTTCATGAGCGACTTGTGGATGTGCGGAATCACACCGCCACCCGCAATGGTCGCCTTGATCAAAGTGTCCAGCTCCTCGTCACCCCTGATCGCCAGCTGCAGATGCCGCGGAGAGATACGCTTCACCTACACACACATCCCACACACAACACAGGATACCAATCAGGGCAACGGTGTGCTGCGCGTGGTGTTGCGGGTGCTGTGTCACTGACTTTGAGATCTTTGGACGCATTGCCGGCGAGTTCGAGCACCTCAGCGGTAAGGTACTCGAGAATGGCGGCCGAGTAGACGGCGGCGGTGGCGCCCACACGGCTGGATGAGCTCACGCGTGACTTGAGCAGCCGGTGGATACGGCCCACTGGGAACTGCAGACCGGCGCGTGCTGACCGAGACAGAGGCTGCTTCTTGGACTTGCCTGCAGGCCACAATCCACACAGACAGACAGAAACGACGTGCCTGCCGCTGGTGTGTGGTGATGTGGGTGAGTCACCTGATCCGATTTTAGCGCCCTTCCCCCCGACCTTGCCGCCAACTTTGCCGCCCTTGCCGCCGACTGCAGCACAAGACACAGGCACAAAGATCCGGGATTCTGTGCTTGCCGCTGTGTCTGCCCGGCTGCTGTCAGTGTGTGCTGCGTACCTTTGCCTCCCTTGCCGCCTGCAGCGCCGAGCACGGGAATGGACGACATGCCGTCTTTCAAGTTGGGAAAGGAGATGGAGGAGTGGAAAGGGCGAAGACAACTGGGAGGAGCGTGTGAGAGCCGACGAACGCACGAAAAAGCTACGAAAACAGGCAGGGAAATCCGAGCTCGCACAGCTAAGCTCGCAGACGTGTGCAAAACCGCTTTTGAGAGAAATGATGGAAAAGAAGAGTCCGTGAAGGAGTGGATCTCCAGATGCGATGCGGTCATGGCTGCTCATATCGGATGGAGCCTTGCATTTCATCTGGTGTGGCAGATAGGGCTGCTGTCTGTCGGCATCCTCTTCTTTTTGCAAGGCTTCTTCCTCACGCGATACGAGATCAAGGACCGCAGCGCTGCAGACACGCCACCAGCAGAGCCGCTCTTCCCCGACCTGCATCAGCATCATCCATCTGATGCTACAGGTGCAGCATCGTGGCTGCCAGCTCAGTATCGGCGAGTGGTCATTCTCATTGTGGACGGACTGCGGTGGGACTTTGCACTCTATCAGCCCGACCTGCCTGTCACAGATGCTGGCCCCTATCACATCAACGGCCTCCCGACCATCCATCGGCTCATGACGGAGCAGCCGCACAACTCTCGTCTGTATCGCTTCGTTGCTGACGCGCCGACGGCAACCACTCAGCGGCTCAAGGCCCTCACCACGGGCTCACTGCCGACCTTTTTCGAAGTGCGTGACACCTTTGAGTCGTCGGCACTGAGTGAGGACAACCTGGTTGAGCAGGTGCGGCGGCAGGGGAGGGGCGTGGTGGCCATGGGGGACGAGACCTGGGTGGACCTCTTCCCAGTGGTTGAGAATGGTCTGTCGAGGGCGTTTCCGTACCCCTCGTTTGACGTCAAGGACCTGCACACTGTGGATGACGGCGTCATGGCACACATATGGGCCGAAATGAACAAGTAAGTCACAAGGGCTGATAAATGCAGGCTGCTCGGCTAAAGCATGGATGTGCCTGTCTGCCTGCCTGTCTGTCCGTCTGTGTGGTTGAAGGTCTGACTGGTCTGTGTTGGTTGGCCATTTCCTGGGTGTGGATCATGTGGGCCACAAGTATGAGGTCAACCACCCGGCCATGCGCGAGAAGCTCACTCAGATGGACAGGGTGCTCGCGGACACTGTCGATCGAGTAGATGACGACACACTGGTGGTGCTTCTCGGCGACCACGGACAGACCGACGATGGCGCTCACGGAGGCGCCCTGCCGGAAGAGGTCACACCACACACACACACACACACAGACGGGATGGATATAGCGATGCAATCGCCCCTACCGTATATGTATGTCTTGGTTGGTGCGTGTAGGTGGACTCGGCCTTGTTCGTTTACTCGAGGAGGCCCTTCTCAGAGACCTCGATGCACCCGTCGTACCCCTCCACACGCACCCACCACGACGCCATCCCCCAGGTGGACTTCGTGCCCACTCTCGCCCTGCTGCTCGGTGTCCCCATCCCTTTTGGCAACCTCGGCTGCATCACGCCGGACATGCTGCCGTCCGTCAGCCACATCCACGGTGCCCCTGCTGGTGCTGCTGGTGTTGTGGGCGAGCTCCGTTATCACGCCGAGGCGTTCTATCTCAATGCTGCGCAAGTGAGGCGGTACCTCGGCAGATACGACGAGGCCTCCGGCAAGTCCTTCGCCGACGGCGAGCATCTGGCGGCACTCTGGGAGAGAGTTGACTCCCACGCCGGTCGATTGAGAAGGGCCGAGTGGGAGCAGAGCGATGGCGGCGTGGCGGATGATCTGAGGGCGTTCATTGCGGCATGTCGTGGGTATCTGGCGGCGGTGCTCGATGCTGCCCGAGCGCAGTGGACGACCTTTGACCCAGTCGCCTTGACGATCGGTGTCGCCACGTCCCTGATGGCAGTCGCAGCGCAGGTCATGTTCACTCTATCCCTCGCCCGCATGGAGACCACTGCACCCGCCGAGTGGCCTGGGGCTCTGCCCTCACCTCTGACCGTCCTCTGGCGCGCCTGCCTCGGTCTGGTGCTCACAGCGCCTCTTGCTGCGACGTTGCGCCTGATCGGGTTACCGACCTGCACGGGTGGCTGCCTCGGCGCCGGTCTGGTCGGCAGCTACATGTGGTCCGCCTTTGTGAAGGGTGGGAGGGTGCTGTCATTGCTCCCCGTCCGTGTGGAGGTGACTGGCGGTGGCGAGCTGCTGGTGGTGGTGTGTCTGTGCGCGTGTCTGTTCTCTGACTGCTACTCCATGCTGGAGGCCACGTGTGTGCGGTTCCTGCTCTCGTCGCTGCTGCTGCTGCACCTCACTGCCGCCGTGCTCCGCCATGTGGCGAGAAGGGCCCTCGGGAGACCATCTGCAGCAGGAGAACACACACGGCCACGGAGGCTCATACTCGGGTACCAAACAAGAGGCAGCAAGCCAAGCGATGCATCGATCGTGTCTCGATTGCCCCTGCTGTCATCACCTTGTTGTAGGCAGAATGGTGGGTGTTCTGTGTGCGGTTCGGCTGGGCCCGTCGATCGACCAGCTGGAGGCCATGCCGGGCGACCGGCCGCAGCCCTCTGTCGTCATCGACCACCCCACGGCAGCATCGGCCGTCATGCTCGTCCCTCTTGCAGTGATGCTGGCGCTGCTCTGGCACTCATGTGTGCGTAGGGGCTGGGTGCGGCGGTGTATTGCAGTGGCGTGGGGCCTGCAGTTCGCTGCAACTGCCATGCAGATGCATGTGGAGGTAAGTAGAGTGGGTGAGACCGATCGATGCTTGTCAGTCAGGGAGTCACTCTGTCTGTCTGTCTGTCAGTTCTACCAGCGCACGACCGAGACATCCGAGGCTCGTGAGCAGCGGCTGGGCGCCACCCTATGGGCTCTCCCCATCCACGACGCTCTCGTGGTGGTGCTGCCCCGCATCGTCTATGCCCTTTGCGGCATTCAGCTGCTCGCCTGCCTCTCCTTCCCTGGTCGCCTTATCCAGACCACCAACAGCGGCAGCCTTGAGTCCCAGCTGCACGCACTTGCCTTAGTGGTGGTGGGCAGCCAGGTATTCCCTTCCATGACGCTCCTCGGCGCCTCCCAGGTGACCCCGGCTGCGTCATGCCTCATCCAGCTGCCACTGCTGCTGACGGCTGTGCACTCTTCCCGCGGACAGAGAGAGAAGGAGCGCAGGGCGTCTTCAACAGTGGTGCTTGGTGGGCTATCCGAGTTGTCCGTGGGTGCGATGGTGGTGCTGGTTGGTTTCGCGATGTTCTTCACGACGGGCCACCGGATGACGTTCAACGCGGTGCCGGTCTCGGCCGCCTTTGTGGGTCTGCTCAAGTTCGACATCAACCTCTCGCCCATGCTCGTCTTCCTCCACACGTACTGCTCATTCATCCTGGCATTCTGCGCACTGCCGGCGGCCGTGGTGGTGACAACCACGGCTAAGGGAGGCAGCGGTGACAGGAATGCCGCCCCGCCTGTGCTCTTGGTGCGCCTTGTGAGAGTGATGGCGAGGTAAGCATTGCGGATGTGAGAGGAGAGTGAGGGAGACTGAGGGAGACTGAGGGAGTGTGTGTGTGTGTGTGGTGTGTTGTGCGTTCAGCGTGTTGGTGGCGGCGTCGCTGCGGTATGTGGCCTCGGAGGTGGCCCTCATCATACTGAGAAGACACCTCATGGTCAGCCAGGGCACACACGCATCCAAGTAGACAGATTTGCACGTGGCGATCTCTCTCTCTCTCTCTCTCGCTCTCCCTGTCTGTGTGTGTGTGTGTGTGTGTTGCGTGCAGGTGTGGTCTGTGTTTGCGCCCAAGTATCTGTATGACGGCATGGCGATGCTGCTGCTGCACGGCCTGGCCCCACTCCTGGCCATTGCTGCTCACAGACTGCTGTCTGGTGGTGGTGATAGTGCACGGACACGACATGCAGATGTGTGTAAGGCTGCGTGACGTGACAGATCGGACCTCTCATGTATTTCATATGTGCCTGCCTGTATGTATGTATCCATTTATTCATTTGTATGGACGAGAAATAAGAGTAACGGTGTTACCTGTTTGTTCTACGCGACACAGGCGCCATGCATGAGGCACATGAAGCAGATAAAGTAATGCATTCATTCGTCTAACGGTACTGACTGTACACTCATTGTATTGTCAGTCACCCACTCTGGCGCAACCCCCTCTGACAGACTATGGCCCATCTTGCTTCTCGCCCGGCTTGGCCTCCTCCCCACCACCACCTCCTGCAACAGCACTGTCTCCTCCGCCCCCATCATCGCCACCAGCAGGGGCAGCTGGAGCTGCTGCTGCCGCGGCAGCGGTACTGATACTCTTGGCGCCCTCGTTGGCCGCCTCGCCCTCGGCCCCCGTCTTCTTCTTCTTCAGGGCAGGCTCACCCGATGGCGAAGACGCCGCTGACTTGCCGCGAGACGGCTCGTCCAAACCCCTGTTGGGCGGCAGGGGAAGCCTGTAGACACACACTCGTACCAAAACAGAGAGATAAACGCATCTGTGTGAGTATGTGTGTGTGGTCATCCCGCCATCTCAGCTAGCTGGCTTACGTGCAGGAGAGGTAGTGCTGTTGGAATTTTTTGAACTCACGTCCGAAGTCCCGGCCGCATCCCGTGCGGTTGCAGCGGAGAGGGCCCTTCAAGTACGGCTCGTACCGGGCAGGCGGGAACTGACACAAAGGCCCCCACACACCAGAGAGAATGAGCGCGTCCTTGTGTGGCGCTGCGTGCCTGTGTTCACCTCTTACCTCTAGTGGTGGTGCGAGTGAGCCCCATCCCTTGCGATTGGCGTGTCCCTCCAGCTGCTCGATGAGGAGCGAGAGAGGGGCAAAGAAGGGTGAGTTGAACGACAGCCAGTGCTTGGCATGCTTGACACGCTCCTGCACCAAGTGTGGCACACATAGTGACGGACAAGGGCAGGGCCGCGCTTTCATCTCTCTGTCTGTCTGTGCTGTGCTGTGCGTATCTGTGACCGAGTCAAAGTCTTGGCTGATGACGTGGAAGTGCACCTGACTGAGAATATAACAACACACCCCATGACGAGACCCGGCCTGCGTGTGTGAATGGCCTGGTATGTATGGCTTACTGGAGGCTAGCAATGGTGTGCATGCCACAGGCAAAGGTCAGATGGGGCGACTTGGCCCTCAACCTCAACACACACACACATTCCCATGAAAGGGTGGGTGTGAGGTGGCGTGAAAACGTCCTCACCGTACCTACCGCTGCACAATCCACTGCGCCAGCCTGCGGGCGTCCTTGAGCAGGTCCAAGTGACCAACATTCAACGCATCTGGTACAATGAATGGATCATAAAGTGTGCACCAACACAACGCATGGACACGTACGTACGTGTCCATGGGGCGTCCGTTAGCTCACTGACTTGGTGTGAGTATCTTCTGTCGCGGCACGATCAGCAGATGGTTATTGGCCTTGGGGTAGCCATCGCTGCCAACCACACCACATCAGCTCGTGCCGTGTCCCCTGCCTTGCGGCGCGGCGCTTACTACATGACGACGAACTTGAGAGCTGAAATCGAACAACACATGCACACAGAGAGAGAGCCGCTGATTGTTCATCCCGTCCCGGCTGTGGGCTCACTTTGCATGAATATGTGGTCCTCATACTTCTCGGGCGTCTCAATCACCCTGGTGGCAGCCAACGACACAACACACAAAATGCGACGCATGGTGGATGCTCTGGCCCTTCTGGCAGTCAATTGCCGCATACTTGAGCAGCACGTCTTGCCTGCACGACACCATAGCAGCCAACATCAACACAGACACGCAAACAGAGGTCACCCGGTGTCTGTCGGATTCATCCATTCATCCATCCATCCATCGCTCCCGAGATGACTTACCATGAGGATGACTGGGGTATGGGACCGAGTGGTGCGCTGTAGGTGGGGAACACTCTGTCCTCCAACTCAGCAGACAGATCCACGTGCAGACTCCCGCCAAAAGCCATCTCCAAAGCAAAGCTCAAGGAGGCAAAGCTGCGGTGACGGCAACAGACAGACGCTTCCAAGCGGCAAGAAACGCATCTGTACCCTACCCGGCCACGGATCGACCCTCGAGAAAAAACCGACAAAGAAGCGTCACTGTGAGGTTGCAGAGCCAGACAGAGTTGAGCAATGGTGGCTCCATGTGTTGCTGGAGGCTGAACGTGATTTGTCCGCGGTTCTCGGCCAGCCCCACTAAGATCATGGCCTGATGGCATCCTGAAGGCCTTGCATCGGGTTCCTGCCCGCTGCGCCTCATCTGTCCATCTTTCCCGAGCCCCTTACTCCTATCCCCGCGTCCACCAACCCCCAAAGAAGCCCTCGGAGTCTGCCCGTCCCGTCCCCCCACGGCCCTCTGATATGATATGAGTTTGTTCGACCAGTGCTACTACTTCCTCATGGCGACGTACCTCGATATGCAGACGTGCTACTGCTGCTGCCAGAGCCTCAGATCCGCCATCATCACCGGTGAGTACGTGTCCATTGCACTGCACTTGCAAGTATGCATCACACATGCAATGAGATCTCGATTGAGCTGCTGGTGGTTCTCTGTGCTGTGCGTGCGGTGCAGTTGCGTTTTATCAGTTTGGCTCGGCGGCCTTCAGCGGCTTTGAGGCGCTCAAGGTGCTGCCCACCGACATGTGGGCTCTCGGCATACTGTTCATCGTCACGGCCCTCTCGTCCCTGGCCTCTGCCACCGCCACCTTCTCGCGCTACATCAAGTCGAGGATCCACACGGCCATGGTGTTCATCGCCAGCCTCGCCTTCAACACCATCATATGGACCGGCGTCATGTGCCACATCTGGCTGTTCTTCACCCCGCCCCCCCTGCCCGGCCACAAGAAGGCCTACGGCATAAAGGTGTACTTCATGGCCGTGCTGGGCGTGCAGATCGCCTCCTCCTTGTACTTCATCTTCGTGTGTGCGCGCTTCATCCACATGCACCGCGACTACATCAAGCAGCAGAGCCGGGGACGAGCAGAGGGCGCCTCATCGTCCGATGAAGACCGCCGGCCATCGGGCTCCCCGCAGCAGCAGCAGCAGCAGCAGTCACACACCGGCGATAAGGCCGGCAGCCCCTCTCTTCATCCCACCTACACGACCACTGACGAGAAGACGCCCCTGCTGACCAGCACAGCCGCCCAGCAGGCAACAGCAGGTGCGGTTGGTGGGGAGGGAAAGGGATAAGTAAGAACCGACGGCCCTGACGTAAGAGAAGTAATGTGTCCCCCAATCCCAAATGCCCAACTATTGACTAACTAACGTGCTTTATGGCGATTCAGTCATTCCTTCCTTCATGTGTATGCGACCCGGTGGGTGGGAGGAGGTGAGGGACGGGAATGAAAGACAGACAGGATGAGTAGATGGATGGATCCACGATGTATGCACGTAAGTATGCCGTGTGGATGTATCTGAGCGTGAGGTCTTTTGTTCCCTACGAGGGATGGTGTGTGTTGGGTTGTCTGGTTGTCTGTCTGTCTGTCTGTCTGTCTGTCATTGACACGCACCTCACCTGAGCCCCCACACCACACCCTGGTACGTCTATGTGTCTGTCTGTCCGTCTGCCTGTCCCTGTCTGACACGGCCGAATGTACAGCACACACCATACACTGGCTGTCTTTGGTGATTTTTGGTTGGTTGATGCTGTGACCATACATTGGGTGACGAAGAGAGACTGGCTGACCGGCTGCACATGTGATCGACACTTGCCTTTGGTACGTGAATGTGATGTGTGTGAAAAAGTCTTGAATGTAGCAGGCGCACTCACATGCACAAGTTCTGACCAAGCGGCCGTCCCACACACTCAAATGTTCCAATCCCGGCCTAGCTAGCTTGTTGTGGTGCCCTCCAGAAATTCCTGCCAATCCACATCGCCAGAACTATCCTGAGAGGGGAGGGAGGAGGGAGACACACGACCAAAAGCGCCCATGACACTTTGCTGCGGTCAGTGAGTCCATCGGTCACCTTGTCGGCCACCTCGAAAACAGAGTCGAGCTCTCGGTTGGTGAGCGATGGCTCGAACAGATGGAGCACCGCCCGGAACGACGCCCGCGGGATCTTGCCAGTGTTGTGGCGGTCAAACTTGTGAAATGCCTCCTCTAGTGTCATGCCTGCTGGTATGGATGTCCATCAGATCGCTTGACGAAGGGGACACGTCTGTCCTTCTCTGTCCCTACCTGCTCGTGCGATCCCCTCGCCCATTTTCTCGAGCACCCCCTTGGCCCACGCACGAGTGGCCAGCACACTCTTGTCTTCAGATGCGGAGGCCAGCGCCCTCTCGAACTCACTCAGTGTGACAACCTTGTCACCGTCCTGGTCCAGACGAGCGAAGAGGTGGTCAACCTCTGCCGCTGAAACCCCCAGATTCAGGGAGGCAATCACCAGCTTCAACTCAGATAAGTCCAGCGCACCATCACTATACGGACAGACGCACAGACACAGAGACGCAGCTGCCTTTTGTGTCTCGCGCGTGTGCACATGTGTGCCCCCACCCGTCCATGTCATATAGGTTAAAGGCCTCCCGCACGGAAAGGCCTCTTTTGACCAGCCGCCGCTGCAGCCGGGCCAGGACGTGCTTGCTGTACCTCTCACTCATCACCAGCCCAGGCAGCCGGTGCAGCGGGTCCCGCTTCCTCCACGACATGCCCGACTCGCTGCTGATACCGTGATGCTGTCCCATGCCTCCAGGCGATGCGTCCGGAGACATTGGGCTGAAGGGGGAGTGGACCATCTTGTGGTATGGGGAGGTGGGGTCTTCGAAGTTGGCTAAAAATTCCTTGAAGTTGATGTCTCCGCTCTTGTCCTTGTCCATCATGGCAAACAGCCTGTCGATGTCGATCGGCCGCATGCTCGGGACCAGCATGGCCACCAACCTCTGGAAGTCGTGCTGAACACAACAAGAAGAAGAGAATGCACCCTAGGCATGCAGTCGCGCCATACACGTGCCTGTGCAATCGCCCCTCGTCCATATGTGTCATATTCTTCGAAGACCTCTCTGAGTGAGTAGCCGGCCCTTTCCACCGCCTCTTTCACCATTCCCAGCGGCAGCATCACATCAGCCTCGTCCCCATTTGTCAGCATCTCCTTCGGGACATGACGACTGCCCACGAGGACGGCAGTTCCGAAACCAGATCTGATGGGCGAATTCAAACCTGACCATTCGTCATTTTTGTTGGCATTCTCCAGTGTGCTGCGGAACTCGGCCAAAGATATTTGCTGGTTCTTGTCGTAGTCGAAGTGTTTGAAGAGCTCCACGACCTCCCAGGAGGACAGGCCCAGCTGGGGAAAGGCAGAGAGGGCCTGAATGAATTCCTGCATGTTCAGCATGCCGTCCTTGGATGTGTCGAATCTGGCGAACAGCTTCTCGACGGTGCTGCCGGCCTTTTCGAGCTTTATGCGCATCTTCAGGAGGACGCCGTACACGTACGCTTCAGACAGCACATGCAACTCCGACGAATTATCCATGGCACGCTCACTCGCCTCTGCAGATGGAGAAGGAGACACAGACACAGGGGTGGTGAAGGAAGACATGCCCACACAGACTGACTTACCCCGATTTGCAAAAAGCATCACAAAGTCTTGACTAGATTCCCCTCCGACGTCCTTGTTCCTCTCACCGCCCCCCGCAGTGCTCACCGAGTACTCCAGTGTGTCTCCCGACCGCCTCCCGACAGCCGATATCTCCAGCCTCGGCGGGGCGGCAGTGGACGCACCTGAGGATGCCTGCGACTTGTCGACTGACAGCCTTGGTCTCGCCGAGTATCTCTGAGGGAAGGGGGCGAGGTCTTTGTGTATCCTTTCGATTGTGTGCATGTGTTGATGTGTGTGTCTGACAGATTTGCGCACCTGAGCACGGAGTGACCCGCCTGTCTTCTGATTGTGGGGAACGGGGGCGGTGGGCGGCACGGGAGAGGGCGAGGGGGACGGCTTTGAGGGGGACGGGAAGGAGAAGACCGTCGGCTGCAGGGCGTGACGTGGATCTGTGGGATGGGGAGGTAAGGAGACACATGGATGGCTCGAATATTGAGAAAAGTGTTGGTGATGGTGCGCTGCGTACGTGTGCTTTTTGTCGGGACACTTGGCCGTGGGGGACCGGAGGGGATCGCTGCCTGCTGGTGTCTTGATGCATTCTTTTGGACGTAGCCCTTGACGTACTCATCTGAATGGAGTCAGACACAAATGAGCACAAACAAAGATCCCGATCCTTCCAACCAAGTACCTTGCAGCAACGCAGCGAGGCTGACGCGCTTCGCTGGGTCCTTCTCCAGCGTTCGCCTGAGAAGCCAACGCCGCATACACCGTCACGTCTTCCCTCGCTATTCCATCATCCCATACATGATAATGTCTCTGATGCCACTTGGGCAATCGGGCGGCAGCGGCCGCGGCTGGTTTGTAACGATCTTCCACACCACCTGGAGCAACCCGGTGCCGTGGAAGGCCGACTGCAGCGCGACCAGCTCATAGACGATACAGCCCAGCGCCCATATGTCGGCCTTGTAGGTGTAGGGCTTGTTCTCGCATATCTGATGGTCGGGTGAATACATCCATGCAGGTGCCTGTCTGCCTCCGTCTCTCTCCCCTACCTCAGGTGCGAGATACAATGGGGTGCCGACAAAGCTCTTGGCCTCCTCCTGCTGCCCTGTGAAAACCTTTGACAGACCCAAATCGCCTGCACAAGACAAAAACCACGTAATCGTACTGCTCAAGAGTAAAATCACGGGCGCATGTCCGTACCAATTTTCAGATTGTCTGCCCCATCAAGGAAGACATTTTTTGACTTGATGTCTCTGTGCAAAATTCGCTGCTGGTGCAGATAGTGGATGCCCTCCGCCATCTGCACAAACCTGCACACACACCAGCGTCGATCCATCCCAGTGAGCCTTTCCTCTCTGTCTCCGGACTGACCACAACATGATTCTCTCCTCCGTAAAGCGGGCCTGATTGGGATTCTGTTTGCAGGTCTCGACCTTTGCCGATAGGTCGCCCCCGGCGCAGTACTGAACTGACGCACGTGCCAATCAGGAGATCGCCACAACGACATGGAGGTAGTTAGCAGCTGCCTTACCTCGAGAACGATCGCGATGTGGCCCGTGTCGAGCTGCAGGGCATCAACACAGGCCACGATGTGGGGATGGCTGAGCATCTTGAGTAGGTGGGCCTGCACGCGATGCGGGTAAATAGATAAACGAATATGCAGTCAAACACGCTCCATCATGATTTTCTTTGCCCCCTGGTAGATACCTCCTGTAGTGCGGATTCTTTGGTCTTGTCATCAGCTGGCTGGATCAACTGCACGACGTTGCATGACGCGACACCACATGGATGAGAGAGGAAGGAAATCACGTGCCGTCGGCAGACCTTGGCGACGAGTGTGGTAGCCTTGTCAGAGGCCTTCGCGACAAAGTAGACCTGCCCGAATTGTCCGCCGCCCACACGGCTGCCCAACTGATACCCATAGGACTGCAACGACGGTGATAACGAGGCCATTTCAATCGCAGCGCGTCAAGTTTCGGGCTCCCTTCTCCTGCATGTGGGGGATTTGGCCCAATCTGCCAGTGCGGGCTTGAGTCCGTCATCGCCCCCACGCAGCCCCCACGAGCCGAAATTGAAAGCTCGTGCTCAGAGTGCCGTCCCATCCCATTTCTCGATCCCAGGATGTCGAACTCTGTCGAGATAGAGCACTGGTGGGAAGGAAAAGATCCCTGAGACTTCATGTCACTGTTCCTTGTCATTGTGCCTTTGTGTTGGTTGCAGCGTTGACTGCGAGGAGCACGCGTGGTGCACTCGCCATGTGGCGGCCAAATACGAGGACTACGCATCCAGGGGTGAGCGGGGGGAGAGAGATGCAGACAACATATGGAAGCCCCTACTCTGTTCTTCTCCTTGCGTGTTTCAGTCAAGAGTGAGATAGAGACAACATGCGATGACGTCGTGGTCAACGTGAGACATCCTTCACTCGCACCTGACATCCGGGCTCGTTTCGTCCCATCCCTGTGGTCTGCCTGTTTGTCTGTCTGTCTGTCTGTCTGCAGGTGAATCCTCCCCCGAGGCTAGGTCGGCACGGGGACGAGGTGTGGCTCATGGACCATCACCACCATCGCACCTGTATGCACGCGTCCACAAACAAGAGAGCAGAGGGGACATCCATCCGATAGGACATGTTTGTTCTGTCAGATGTCGTAAAGGGGTCAGGTGGCGCCGTCCGAAGGTTCAGGTACCCTCAACTGGGAGCCTTCGAGGTCTCCGTCATTCGACACTCCAAAAGACAGGTAGGTAACTCAGAGTCAGTCAGCGGACACACACGCGTCTCTCGGCTCCGTTTTTGCCCTCTTGTCTGGCAGCTGGTGTTCTCCAAGTTGACGGTGGGTCGGTGGCCCAATGCCTGGCTGGTCGCCCAGAAAGTCCAAAAAGTGCTTCAGGGCGAGTCAGTCCCGCCACCACAGCCCCCCGTGAAGGGACAGCAGCAACAGCAGAAGACCCCCTCCCCTCGCGCAAGCCGCGCACCGTCCCACGCACCTTCATACGCACCCCCTCAGCCACAGAGGGCCCCTTCGGTCAGGCAAGCCCCCTCGCAGGCTGCCCCTTCGTCTCGCGCACCCTCTGTGACAACCGTCGCATCGACGAGGCCGAAGTCTGCGGCGGCCCCGAGCCGGGCGAGCATGGCGACGGAGCAGCAGGTGGTGGTGGCGGGTAAGGAGGATCTGTGGGACACGAGGCGGCAGATGAGTATGCTGTCGGCCATGGCGGCGCAGGAGCCGCAGCCAATCACGGAGGAGGTGCCCAGAATTGGGAAGGGAAGAGAGTCAGTGTGCTCGTTGTGACATCGGGTGTGTGCTCCTGCAGGAGTTGCGTGCTTTGGCGAGTGAAAAGGCTGATGTGTTGACGTCGACCTTCCAGGCCCTCGACCGATGGAACACACACGCCGTCTCGAGGGCTGAGTTCCAACAGGTAATTGAAAGAAAGCTTAGATGGTATCCTTCTCTATCTCTCGTGTCTCCCCCCGTTCAGGCTCTGGCGTCGGGGAACATATCCCTCCCAACCGGTCAGCTGCGGGCCCTCTGTGAGGCGTTTGAGGACCCCGCGGGAGGCGTCAAGTACCAGTAAGGACACACTCCATCCCACATGTGACAGACTGGTCGATGCGCCCGCTCACTGTGTTGTGTGTGGATGCGTCTTTCTTTCTTTCTTTCTCTCTTTCTTGCTTCCTCAGGGACTTCATGAGGCACTACGCTGCCGACCAGCGGCGCGTCACCATCGCAGTGAGATATACACAAGCGGACGGCGTGGGGGGAAAGTCCTGGCCGTTTGATGTGTGGCGTGGTGCATAGGTCACCCCGAGCGAGACTGCCCTCCCTCAGCTGAAGCGCAAAATCACATTCCAGGAGTGAGCAAGATGACACAGCATAAGATGCGTTCCTTTCAATACCCGTGTTGTGTCTCCGTCTGTGCCTGCATCCAGGCCTCCCCGCCAGAGTGTTCTGGACAGCCTGCCAATCGCCGACGTGGGAGGCATCGACACACCGATGGAAAGGCCAGGCAAGCAAGAGAAAGGGACAACAGACCACGCCACACACCCCACCCCACCACACGAACAATATGTCCCTTTGCACTGCACTGCACAGGATCTGCCACCGGTCAAGACCCTCTGTTGGACTCCCGCAAGTCGCTGGGGTCGACGGTGTACCTGCAGCCCGGCAGCACGCGCGGCTCCCAGCGGCTGGGGGCGTCGTTCATGACCGACGTGAGCGTCTTCCCCACACCCATGCCCAGCCACCCCGCCAGCCCCGTGGCCCCCAGTGAGGGCGGACCACCGGTGCTGTCGCCTCCTGTGGGCCGGGAAGGTCAGACACACACACTCTCAAGCAGAGGGAGAAGAGAAGTTGGGGTGCAAATGTGTGTTGCGGGTGTGTCGCATAGATCGCAAGATGGCTGCAGTGGAGTTGCAGGCGCGTTTGTTGCGTGCGCGTGGCGACCAGCCGTTGCTTGAGTTCCTGCGGGACTACCTCAGGCGGGGCCTCACCGAACGGCTCACACTTCAGGAATTCAAAGAAGGTCGGCAAAGCACGTCAGTCGGCATGAGGTGTGTTGACACCCACATATGTGTGTGCGTGTGAATGCAGAGCTCTATCCGTGGCCTGTGTTTGACGAGTCTTTTGACTTCAATGAGCTGTTTGAGCTGGTCGACGCCGACAGAGACGGACTCGCCACACTCGCAGACCTCCTCGCCATGCTGCAGGTACACAGTCCCCTTCCTTTCCCTCACCCCCCCCAGCCCAAGTGCACCTGTCTGTGCAATGCAATGCCATCCAGGAGTGTTCGGTAGCGGAGGTGCTGCACGACATGGAGACGATGCGGGCAACGATGCCCATGGCCAAGGACAAGGACAGGCAGGCGGCCACGGGGGTCACCACCGCCACCCCCACGCGGCCCAGCAGCGCCAGCACCTACCACGCCCAGACGGCAGCCACCGCCACCTTCCACGCAGCCTCGACTCCTTCCGCATCCATGCAGGCGGACGAGAGCGGGGCACCCACTCCCCCGCCCGGAAGTCAGCCAGCCACCAGACAGACAGACAACGACTAAAGTCAGACACACACGAGTCTGTCTGTCCTGTTTTGTTCTGTAATGTATTGTGTGTCAGTTGAGGGGAGTGTGACGTCTCGTGGTGGTGGGCAGGGAGGAGTGCCGGTGGCGATAGGTGAGGGTGCGGCTGGTGGCGACAAACAGTTTTCGTTCGGCGGGCCGCTTCCTTGTGCCAAAAAGGAGACCGCCACCAAGCTCGACGTCGTCACCGGGGCCGGTGAGCGCAGCGCCTCCTTACACATCCACTCACTCCACGCAGTGCCGTGCACGCAATATTGTTCTGTCTCCGTCTATCCATTTCTCTCTGTGTGTACGTTCGTTACCTCAGCGACGCCCCCCATTGCCGAGGAGATGCCGAGTGACGTCGAAGCTGCGCAAAAGGGTACATGTCTCTCTGTCAGGTCAGCCGCATTCATGTGTGGATGTGTTCATTTATGTGTCAGAGGAGCCCCCGGGGCCTCCTGCCCCCCCTGCGGTCGAGGAGGTGGAGCCGCCCGCCCCCCCAGTGCAGGAGGAGGAGCCACCGCCCAAAGAGGAGAAGGACAAGGCCATACCGGAGCCCACGAGGGAGTACGAGCTCGTTCTCGCATGCGGGGTGGCCAAGAACCAGGTCGGTGTGCATGGAGTAGACGGGCACAGAGGATATGTGTGTGTACGTGTGTGTGAGTGCCTCACTCTTATGTGTGCAGAAGATCACGTATGAGAACAAGGAGTCGAATGACGTCAGCTTCCGCCTGAAGAGCTCTGACCCCGACCTCATGCAATGCAGGTACGGTACGCCGCAGCGCAGCTCTGCAGCAATGAGCCGAGACATGACATCAATGTGGGTGTTTTGTCTGGACGCCTTTCTGCGTCCGTACAGGCAGAAGGAGGTGACGGTCACCGCCAACTCGAAAGGCAAATTCCCACTCAAGTTCGCGCCGGTCAGTCAGACAGCGAGGGGAGGGAGGGGCGATATGCTTCTTAATTCGCATGTATGTCTTTTTGTTTGCGTGTGTGTCTTGGCGTGTCTCACTCATATGCAGATTGCGGATCCGTCTGAGCGTTCCTACTTCCTGATGGTCTACGACACGACCGATGACGAGCTCAGGTAGGTGGATGGCTGCGATGCGATCGATGCATGAGAGACGCGCGATGCGATGCCGATGCGTGTGCTCTGCGTGTCTCTGTCTCCCTCCCTGTGTGGTCTGCACTGCCTGCAGGGAGTGCATCAAGATATCGGTCACCTACATCGTCAAGGGAGGACAGTCTGAGGCGGGAGGAGGAGACTAGCCGGCCTGGGAGCTGTCCGGTCCACAGCTGAGTTGGCGGGGCGGGTCGTCGGGTCTGTCTGGTATGTGGGTCTCTGCCTCCGTGTTGATGCCAGTGTCCATTGCATAGCCTGCCTGCCTGCATCGAATCGATCCTTTCATTCTCATGTTTGACCATACCATCACATCCATCCACCGCTTCATTCAATGAAATCCAGATAGACAGACACAAATCTCGACCGTTTGTCGCATGCACGAGCGAGTTCCTCTCTGAGCCATAAAAGTCCCTCCCTCCCTCCCTCCATCCCTCTCCCTCTCGCACCCTCTTTCTCTCCCATCATTGATTGTCACACACACACACACACACACACGCGCGCGCGCACCCCACCTCATCCATCATCAATCAATCTGTCGTCACTTCGGTCCGTCCGCTACTCGAGCATTCATTTTGTCTCATTCACAGCTGTGACCTGTAACCCATGGGAAGATGGCTACATCGCACCCCGCCGATGGATGGGTGGATGGATGGATGGCGGTGTTTCACCCCCGCAGCCCGCCATGCCATCACAGCATGGGTGCTACGCGACGTCCCCATCTTTCTTTCCATATGTAGGTCGGTCGGTCGTCGGTCAGGAAGTCAGCGTATGTATGGTATGTAGCTAGCGTATTCACACCAGTGCGCAGTGGAGGGAAGAGAGGGCGTGCCTCGCCTCCTCACTGACCCGAGTAGGCAGATAGATGGACAGATGAATGGATGGATGGATGGACTGATGGAGAGATAGGCAGGCAGGCAAGAGAGATAGGGTGACAGGAAGACAGAAGGAAGGGCGGCCACCCGCTCGATTCGATTGCTCGTTCTCTCTTCCTCTCTCCGTATTTGCGTGTATGCATGTGTGTGCATTCTCTCATCTCACATTGTGAGCCCTCACTTCACTCGCAGGCCACACACACAAAGCAAGGAGGCAGGGAGGCAGGGAGACAGGGAGGGAGGGAGGCAAGACGCGAGACGCAAAGGCAGCTAGACAGCTAGGCAAACACGCATACACACATGCAGGTAGGTAGGGAGATACTTACTTACACAAACACCAAAAAGCCCGTCCGTGCCCCCAGGGGCACACAACATATCCCATCGATGCATCCATCCATGTATCAGTCTGTGTCGCACAGATGGTGCGTGCGAGACAAATGCGGCCATTCATTCATTCACTCACTCATTCCACCCGACCTATCTACCCAATGAATGCAATGCATTGCATACCATTTGTTTGTTGTAACTGAATTCTTCGAATCACCAAAAATGGCACGTCGTTCGTTGCCTCTCCCCTCTCTCTGCCATCTCGCTCTTGCCTCTTGCCTCGTCCCCCTACTGCCCTCCTCTGTCTATCTGTGACTCATTCGCACACGCTTTTACACCCACACCCCTGTGTGGTGTGGCCCCTACGCTAGCTGGACCATCTCCTGCCCATGCGCCGACGCCTCAGCTGGCGGCTGAGGCACCACCTCCGACACCGCAAAAGCAGAAGGTATGGTGGGCGAGGGCAGGAGAAAGGCGTCTAACCGCCGCACGGTGTCCTCATCTATCACTGGCGACACCGATCGGACTTTGTAGGGGAGGGCTGTGTCGTCAACGGGGGTTTGGGCGTGGTCGTAGCTGGGGGGCAGCGCCACACGCCGTCCTTGCTTGGTGGCTGAGGTCGACTGGGACTGGTGGTGCAGTCTGGGACCGGTGAGGAGGGTCATCTGCCCGGCCTTCTGCACGTGCAGCTGGCCGCCCACCGCCGAACACGCCTGTTATCAACCAACGACACGACACGACACGACACGACACGACACACACGGGGAGGGACATTACATTTCGCCTTCACTGTTGTGGTGTGTGCTGCGTCTGGTTTGTGCTTGTTCGGCTCCTCACCGTCCCGTCAATCATCCAGAATGTCCGCCGCCCTGGTGGGACGTCGATAGTCAGATCACGCAAGCGAGAGAGCTCGTGCCGGCCCTGTGGCGGGGCAATGAATGACACAAGGAAGCAAGGGATGGATCGGTGCGTGTGGAGTGAGGGTCTGTCTGTCCGGTGCGGCCTCAGTCAGTCAGGCACCTGTGTGTTGAGAACAAGCTGTCCGAACATCTGTGGCTTGGAGTGCACGGTCACGTCGAGCAGGCCGTCCTGCACCACCTTCTGGGAGCTGGCGTAGTCGGGGCTGAGGAATGGCGAGCCCCCGTAAATCGGGATATTGTGCGCCTGGAAGCACGAGAAGGCGCCCGGCAGGCTGGCGTTGGCCTCATGCCGACCGTCCTCGGTGTCGTAAGTCAGCCGCACCACATCCTGCGGACAAGCACAGGACAGCACCTGCAGTGCATCCATCGTCTGTGTGTGCGTGTGCGTGTGCCCGGAGGGGGGCGGACCGGACCTGTAGTGCGTCGTTTTGTATGTATTTGAGCAGCCCGGATGCCCATATGAAGGCTTTGCGATAGAGCCGTCCCGCCTCGGGGTGCGTCGACCGCCACTTCTCGAAGTCAAACAGCGACCGGGCGATGAATCCCATCGCTACCGAGTGGACGGAGTAGTTGCTGTGAGGACGGCAAGGCAAGGCAGGACAGGGCAGGACACCAAAACACACAACACATCCGTACACACCGTAGACACATTCCTTGATTGACTGTGTCGTCAGCCGGTTGAGACGGTCGGTACCCACCCACCTGTGGAAGTTCTCAAGGTCGGTCATGCCCTCAGGAATCAACCGCCACACATCCAAGTCATACACCTACACACAACCAGCCGCACACAAACACACACACACACACGTCCTTGCTCGGTCGTCTTACGCATATCACCAGTTTTTACTCAATAATCCCCCAATCACCTGGTTGCAGTTGAGGACATAGTTGACTATCTTGGGAAGCTCGCCCATGCTGCAGTCGCGTGCCGACAGCCGCACCTGCATCCCCGACAGCCGGCCAATGTCGTTGTACGTCCCGCAAGGCATCACCGCCACCAAAGGGAAGTACCCCGTCCCGTCAAACAGCCGGTGCAGCGTCTCGTACGCCCAACCGACGGTGCCGTCCCCCCCCAGCAGCAGAATTCGCAGCTGCGGGACGGCTTGGGGCTGCTGCTGTGGCCACGGGGGGCCTGCGATGGGCTGGTTGGGCTGCAGACGGAACCCCTTGCGCAGGAAATCTTCCTGGGCGGCACGCCTACACACACAGAAGAACTCCAATCAACAACCCGCTTCCCTTCGCATATGTGTGTGGTTGGGTACCAGATGTTCGATGCCTGCTCGTCTGCGGCGTTGGCCGACCACCTGAGGCGGTCCGTGTGGGCGTCAAATGTGTCCTGGAGGTCCCCCAGGTACACTGTGGGTATGCCCATGTACTCGAGGAAGTCACGCATCACTGTGCGACGCGTGTCCACCAGATTCCCAGATAAAGTCAGGATGGGAGTGTCTGCAGGACAGACAGCACAGCCGGTAGTCATACACAGATATATACATAAGTAAGGCGCCTAAGGCACATCGCTGCTCATCACTCACCGGCGAATGCGCCTTCCCACCGATGGTCCGGATCAAACCGTGACACGTCAGCTCTGTCAGTACTGCCACCATCACTCTCCAGCTGAGACGACAGCCTGCTCAGCAGCGGCAGCCGATGCGATAGATGCGGTGTCTGCGGGATCTGCGGCAGACGGTACAGCTCATCTGCAGCAGCTCTTCGGCGCAGCAAGGGCTCTAGCGCGGGCAGATGAGATGGCGATGTGCCTCTCGACGGGATAAAGGCAGCCGACAGCCGGGATCTCCTGTCCGACGCAGTGAGGCTGTCCCTCAGAAGGCCGGTGGCAGTGAGCTGCGGTCCGCCAAGGCTCCCAAGGACCAGCAGAGTAAGGAGAAGGCGGAAGATCTGCACCGTGGCTGGGCTCAATATCTCCATTGCTGCTGTTGCTGTTGTGTGCAGTGGTGACGAGCGGCTGAGGGGGAGAGCCAAATGGCCGCTCCGTGGACGGCTGGCTCCGTGAGTCGGGTTTCGATCGTCAGGGTTTAAACAGTTTCACGGACAATCAGAAACATCGGCTCTGCAGCAGGCATTCGAGAGGCTCTGCAGAGTTCAAAGGAGTGCGGCACGTGCATTGCCACCAGAGCGCACTTGGCGTATTCGATTGAAGAAGTGACATTTGCTCTCCGCTCCATCCGCGGGACGGCAATTTGCTGAGGCTGGGGCGCAGGCATCATGCCTATGCCCAACGTAGCTACGAGCGGCTGGCCACAGGGTGGCAGCACCACCAGCCACATGCAGGTAAGAGGGGAAAGACACTGCTGTCCAGACTGGACGCGCACTTCACACCACCAATGGCATGCACATTGCACACCAATTACACCCATGTCATGTCTGTCTTGGTGGCTGTACTTGTCGCATGCAGGGGCGCATGCAGGGGCACTACCAGTACAACTACGGGTACGGCAGTGCTGACGGACGCGTCTGCAACTACGGGTACGGCAGTGTCGATCACACACCTTTCCATGGCTGCAGCATGCATTGCATTCCACAAGGTCACTGACGTTCTCGTCTGTGTGTGACGACCTCTTCAGGACCTACGAGGATACGTGTACCTCGCCAATGAGTCGCACATCGACCACAGACACCTACACCTGCACCTACACACCCACAGGTGCGCACACAGATGATACGTACGATGGACTCACAGGTGTGTGTGCGTGCGCATTTGGATGTGCTGTGCAGGCAGCTCCACACCAACAGACGCCCCCGCCACCCTCATGGGCATGACGAGGGAGGAACTTCTCGAGAAGTTCTCAAAGGCCAAGGTACGCAGCACACACACACACACACACACATACTCTTGACCTTTTCTGGGTGTCTGTGTCACTGTGTGTGGTGTGTTACATCAGTCGCTGGCAGACGTCTTCCCTGACACCGAGGACGAGAAGCACCTCAAGCAGCCCCAGATCTGGCGCACGTACGCCCTGGTCAGTGACGTGAGCGGCAGCTGCGTGCTGGGCGAGGGCGTGCTGATGGAGGTGAATTCCAAGGGCAGAGGCGCGCGGAAGGGCACGGTGATGGGCGTGGTGCTGACCGACCCGAGTGCAGGGGCGGTGGGGTGGTTCCCGACATCCTATGGCGCCATGAAGCAGGTCAACCTATTTACCCCAGCCACCGAGAGGGAGAGGCAGGAGGGGACGGAGCTCTTCGCCAACTGGTGGGACGTCAATACCCTGGGCAATCCTTACGGTGCGGTGGGCCTGGCCATGTGGGTGGGCCTGTCCCACATGCCCAGGTTCATGCAGCGGCAGTACGAGGGGCTGGCGTCCACTCTGACTGGCGGGCGGCTGGTGGTGGTGTGTCGGGGGTGCGATATGGTCGAGTGGTTCGTCGTGTCGGCGCCCCTTTTTGAGGGCGTGATAGCCGACAACCGTGCCAGGGTGCCGGGCTATGACAGGCAGATCAGTGAGGTCACCAAGTGGCACCTCACACACACGCAGTACGAGGAA